ACAACAGTGGCACCATGCAATATTTGTCCTTTTGTGACTGAGATATTTCACTCAGCATAATGTCCTCCAGGCTCACCCATTTTGAATACTATTGAATGATTCCTTGTTTTTCAATGCAGCATAGTATTCCATTGTGTGAATATACCACAGCTTCTCTACCCATTTGTTTGTTGATGGGCACCTTGGTTGTTTCCAACTCCTTGCTATTGTGAACAAAGCCACAATAAACATGGGTGTGCATATACCTGCTTGGATGTCAGTTATGGTCTCTTTGGGATATATTCTCAGTAGTGGAATTGCTGGGTCAAATAGTATCTCTATTTGCAACTTTTTGAGAAAGCGCCATACCGCCTTCCACATTGGTTGCACCATAGAAACAGTCTTTGTAAATATGAAAGCAACCCTATTTTTTTTCCTCACCTTTTCATCTGTAATTAAAATTTAAAGAATTGCTTTCAGAAATGAAAATTAATTTTAAATAAAAGTATAAAAATTAAAATCCTACAGTCCTGTAGTAAAAAAATCCCTGGAAAATATAGTACCAATGTATGTAATTAAACAGGACTAGAAATTAGGGCTGGAGTTAAACAGTGTGGTACTTGGAACCCCAACTAGAACAAGGTGCCAGTGTCAGTGTTTAAACTTCTTTTCTAAAATAAGTCGGGATAATCTCCAATTTCTAGACTTGTCTAGTCCTCCCATTCTATTTCTCCTCCTAAAATGTCTGCACATCTGAAGTATGTACCCTTGAAATGAAAATGTACCACAAATAAATGCATACAATATTAATTTTATTAAATGTTATTTTTTCCTTTGTGTTAAAGAAAGTGATTAATATGTGCTAAAAATCTATCTCATATTATTGATCTGTTTACTTCCTGATCATTCCAAAGTTATTAATTTCTGATGCAGCTAATCGCTTAATTAAGTTATTAAAATTCAATCTTATATACAAGATTAATCATCTTGAGTAGAATATAATTAAATATAAACAAATACACACCTTTTTCTAAAACTGCCATTCTGTTTCATAAATTCAGAAAAAAAAGCCATGTTAAAGTACAACTATTGGTCTTTGTCTAGAAAAAAGAAGAGGAAAAAACCCAAAGATGTATAGAAACAATGAATCTAAATGGACCATGCAAACCTCAACGTCCATGACTTTGAGACCAGAAGAGAAACATGGTGCATGTCAGAACCGACTCAACGGCACCAAACAACAACAGGAAGAGTCCTCACCTCTTTAGCCTATTTGAGTAAAAGGGTACTACTTACATTGTCTTTTTAAGGAAGACGCAACCACAGGCTTTTTCAGGCCGCTTTTCCTTAAATTGCTGCTTATTGCATCTTGAGGTAACAGCAAACTGTCTGTTGGTGCACCTAAATAAAAAATCATTACAGCATTTTATAACATATTTACATTATATAAATTGATTGGATAAGAGAATGAAACATAAAAACGATCTCTGATAACTTCTACATTAGTTTCATAGTTGCTAGAAGAAAGTCTCATTGTTGTTGAGTCAGAATTGACTCCATAACTGACGGGGGTGGGGGGGGGGGGGGGGGTTAATAAGGAGACTGTCCATTTTTTTCCCTCCAAGCCACTGGTAGATTCGACCAGCTACCTTAAAGTTGGAAACACAACTCCTTACTGACTAGGCCACCAGAACTAGAGAAGAAAAGAACATTAATCTATATACATAAAATTTTTAAGTGTCATTAACTCTCTATAGGCAACTAAGCAGAAAAAAAGAATTAAGGAAAAAAATCTAAACAAAATCTATCCATTGTTCCCATGTCTTAGATTATCACTACTCATTTTCAAATGAGTGGCTTTCCATTTTCTTACCAATAAAGAGATTTTGTGATTTTTAAATGTTATTTTACTAAATTTGTCATACTTATCCCAAAATTAGTAATTTTAAAAAATTTCAGGTAAATAAAACAAATATTTAGAATATGTTCTATACCCATTCATTCAGTTTGGGTTTTTTTACAACAATTTTTTTTCTCATTTTGTTGGTGATTGTGTATGTGTTTCACACTGTTTTCATTCACATTGTGTTTCAATCATACTTATGCATTATGTTTTATAAAATTAATCACCATTGAATCTTGCCCATCATTACCTTGTCTTTTCACCTGATGGATCCTTCCTATATCCTTCTCCCCTCCTTCCACCCACCAAACTGTGCAACCTTGTAGTTTTTGTCCCTACCCATCATCAGCCCTCCCCCTTTGAGTTCCCATACTAGTCATCCTTCTATTTTTACAATAATGATCTCATGCAGTATTTGTCCTTATGAGATTGTGCAATATAATGCTCTCCAGCCTCTCCCAATTTATGTAGTATTTTTTGAATTGTTGTTCCTGAGGGCTGTATAGTATTCAGTTATGTGAATGTCCCACGATTTCTCAATCCATTCAGTTGTGGTTTAATATTTTGGCTGTTTCCATGTTCTTATGATGCTGAATAATGCTGTTATGAAGAATAGTGTACAAATCTCCTTTGTGTCTCAGTTCTAACTTTCGTGAGGCATATTCCTAGCAGTGAAATAGCTAGGTCATATGGAGTTTCTATGTTCAGCTTTTTGAGGAAACATCAAACTGTCTTCCAGAGTGGTTGACTCATCAACAATCTGTGTTATGCAGATGATACAACCCATCTTGCTGAAACAGAAGAGAATCTGAAGTGCTTGTTGCAGAAGGTCAAGGACTGCAGGCTTCAATATGGATTGAAGCTCAATATCAAGAAAACAAAGACTATCACCACTGGACCAATAGGCAGCCAAATGATAGATGGAGAAGATATTGAGATTGTTAACAGCTTTAGTTTGCTTGGCTCCACAATCAACACTCTTGGTACCAGCAGCCAGGAAATTAAAAGACAAAGTACTGAAGAGCAACAATGTCAGTCTGGAGACTAAGGTATTCCTGATCCAGGCCATAGTCTTTGCAATTACTTGTTATGCATCAGAAAGCTGGACAATGAGTAGAGATGATAGAAGGAGAATTGATGCCTTTGAGCTTTGGTGCTGGAGAAGAGTATTGAAGATACCATGGATTACTAGGAGAACAAACAGGTTCATCCTAGAGAGGGTGAGACCAGGCTGCTCCTTGGAGGCAAGGATACTGAAGATTCATCTGACATAGTTTGTACATGTTGCAAGGCGGGACCAGTTCCTGGAGAGAGACGTCATGCTTGGGAGGGTGGAAGTCAGTGCAATAGAGGAAGACCCTCGATGAGATTATTGACTCAATGACTTGGGTAAGATTGGCACAGGATGGGACAGGATTTAAGGTTATTGTACATAGGGTTGTTATGAGTTGTAGGTGACATAACAACAATATTGTAAATGGTATTGCTCTCTTAGTTTCCTTCTCTGTGTTTTCTTGTTAGGATAGAGGAATGCCAGTCATTTTTCGAGTTGATATTGTAAGCTTAAACCCAACTAAACTGGACCACTAGCTCTAACAGTATTTTTGTTAAGTCCTTGAGGTTTTCTGTGTACATTATCATACCATCTGCTGATAGCAACAGTTTAACCGCCTCTTCGCTGTTCTGGATGCATTTTACTTCATTCTCTTGTAGTATTGCCCTAGCAAGTAATAAAATATTGACTAGAAATGGTAATAGTGGGTATCCTTGTCTAGTCCCTGTTCACAAGAAAAATGCTTTTAGTCTTCCTCCATTGAAAATGATATTGCCTCTTGGTTTTGCATATATACTTTTCACTATGTTGAGGAAATTCTCTCCTATTTAAATTTTGTTGAGTGTCTTAACCAGGATAGGGTGTTGGATTTGTCAAATGTCTTTTCTGAATCAGTAGCTAAGATCATATGTTTTTTGTTATTTGCTTTGTTAATGTGGTGAATTAAGTTGATTATCTTCTTATGTTGATCCATCCTTGCATGCTTCTTATGGATTCTACTTGGTCATGATGAATTACATTTTTTATGTGTTTTTGGATTCTATTGGCTAAAATTTTATTAAGGATTTTTACATCTATGTTCTTGAGAGATATTGGTCAGTAGTTTTCTTACTTGGTAATAATATCTTTACCTGGTTTTGGTATTAGGGCTATGCTTGCTTCATAGAATGTCTTTCTCTGGGATTGTTCCTTCTTTTTTATTTTTTAAAATAATTTAAGTAGAATTGATGGTACATCTTCCCTGAATGTTCGGTAGAATTCAGCCATGAAGCCATCTGGTCCAGGATTTTGTGTGTGTGTGTGTGTGTGTGTGTGTGTGTGTGCGCGCGTCTTTTTATAACCTGTACAATTTCTTCTTTTGTGATGGGTCTGTTCAAGTGCTCTACATCTGTCCATGTCAATCTGAGTAGGGCATGAGTTTCAAGGAATTTGTCCATTTCCTCTAAATTTTCAATTTATCAGAGTATGTTGTTGTTGTTAAGTGCCACTGAATCAGTAGACAACTCATAGCGACCCTATGAATGAAAGACCTGAACACTTGTATAACTTTCATTGTTTCTCCAAGTTCATAGGGTTTCCGGAAGCAAGCCATTTTGGAAGTGGATGCCACTCCAGCTCCACCAAACACTGTCAAGCATGGGAACCATTATTTCATTTGACACATCAGTATCACAGTGTTTAGCATCACAGCAGCCACAAATTACCTCTGTAAAGCAAACGGACAGACCAGTGCTATACCACTTAGAAGAATGTTTGACCAGAAACAATTAAAACCAGGCCTGGGGGCCACAGACTAAAATCACCCACCTTTGCCTTGGTAGCATCACTTTCTGTCCACTAGGCCAACTGAGCTCTCTTGTTGTTGCTGGTGTTGTTGTTGTTAAATGGCATCGAGTCATAGACAATTCATAATGACCCTATGAACGAAAGACCTGAACACTTATCAGAGTATAGCTTTTAATAATATTCCTAATTATAGCTTTAATTTCTTCTGTTTCTGTTGTAATGTCACCTCTATCATTAATTAATAAAGTTATTAGTGCCTTCTCCTTTTTTTCTTTTGTTAAGTTTGCCAACTGTTTGTCAATTTTATTGACCGTTCTGAAAAACCAGCTCCTGGTTTTGTGGATGCTTTCAATTGTTTTTTTCTGTTTTCTATCTCATTGATTTCAGTTCTTGTTCTTACAACTTCTTTTCTTCTAGAGGCTGTGGGATTAGACTGTTGGGTGTGCTGGGGTTTTCACCTATTTGATCATTAATTTTGCTCCTTTCTTCATTTTTTATGTGTTTTCCTATTGCTATGAACTGGCCACTGAGGCCTCTCTTAACTGCATCCTAGAGGTTTCTATATGTTGGTTTTTTTTGTTTTTGTTTTATATTTTTTTTTATTGGGAAAACATATTGGGGGTACAAGGAGGTGAGGGTTGGGGGCAGAAGGGTGAGGATGGGCCAGTACGCAGTTGCAGAGCTGCACAGTTTGGTCAGTGGGGGGAGCAGGTGAAGGAAATGATGAGGGTCCAGTGGGGACCAGATGCTACAGAGGAATGACAAGCATTTTCCAATAGTAATTAAA